TTCCAACTATCCAGTGGATATTACATATCTATATTTCATTGTTTGGTGATTTCATTGAAAATCGATGACCATTGTGAAGCAAGTTGAGTGGGCAGTTCTGAATCCCAAGAGATTTCGTCAGACAGTCTCCAAATGTCCTGCATCAAAATCTTTGCTTTAATGATACAGGGAGCTAACCATCCCAATGGATCAAACAACTTAGCGATGGATGATAATACTTTGCGCTTTGTCCATGTTCCAACTGCTTCGTGTTCGAGCGATTTGAAAATGAATTCATCTGAATGAGCTTGCCATGCAATGCCGAGAGTTTTGAATGTTGACTCGAAACTGATGCATTCTTCACGATCTGTGTCGTCAACGTTTTCCAGAATTCGTTGCTCGTTTGTTTTCCATTTTCGAAGCTTGAATCCATATTCATTCAATGTATCGTCGAGCTCTTTCCTGAATTTGAACGCAATATCAGTTGAAAAAAACGACTTCAAAAAATCATCAACGTAAAAATCCTTTTGGATGGCCGATGCGAGTGATGGATTGGAGGATTTTATTTGTTCACCCACTTCATGGACACTTCGAATAGCCTGGAAGGCAGCGCTGCTTGTGCCAAAGGATACAGTCAATAACCGATATTCTTCAATTCCGTCGGTCCCCGGTCTATGCCATAGGATTGACTGAAGATTAGCGTGTTTTGGATTTACATAAACCATTCGATACATTTTTTCTATGTCAGCTGAAATTGCAAACTCGAATTTTCGCCAGTCGATCAATATGTCAAACAGTTCAGGTTGAATCACTGGCCCGACGCACAAACAATCGTTTAATGAAATGCCAGTACTTGTTTTTGCTGAACCATCAAATACACTTCTTACTTTGGTGGTGGTACTCGATTCCTTTAAGACGCCATGGTGAGGCTAAAAATATTGGAACGATGGAGAATCGTTAACCTTTTGCATGTGGCCCAACGATAAATATTCTTCCAAGACGGCATCATATTTTATTTTAAAATCAGGATTTTTTGCGAATCTTCGTTGCAAGGATTTGTATCGACGTTCAGCAATCGATCGTGATTCACCAAGTTGCTCCCATGGATTTATTTTGAATGGTAAATCAACGACAAATTTACCGTCGGTAGCTCGACGAACGGTATTTTTAAATACATCCTCCGCCATTTGCTCTTCTTGTGTGGGAATACGTTTGTGAGAGACCTCTTCCAGTTCCCAAAATGCTTTCAACTGAGCGTGCAAATCAAAGTCCTGATTGTCGAGTGTGTTTACTTTAATGTGATGACACATGGCAGTTGTTCTTTCTGAAATATTCATGCGACCGTAGACTATCCATCCAAGCTCGGTGTGTTGTGCGATGGGATGCTCACGTTTACCTTTGACTACGCCGGACAAAACGACGTCACCGTGTGTAGCTGAACCCAGTAGCAAGTCAATTTTAGCTGGCTCAAAGTAAGTTGGATCGGCCAATGGCAAATTTTGCAAGTGCGTCCAATCTTTGACAATCTTTCTATTGAATCCCACTATTTCGCCGATACATCGAACAACAACTGCACGGATGATGAGTTTATAGTCTTTGTTTTGTGCAGATCCAATTTCAATGGTCACTCGTCCGAGTGCTTCTCCAACCGGTACGTTGCCGACTCCAGTCATTGTCATTTTGCAACGCGGAAACTTAATGCTCAATAACCGACACGCATTCAAAGAAATCAGATTGGCGGTTGCTCCTTGATCAAGAAGTGTTTTGAATAGGGCCGATCGATTATTGAAACTAGTCGGCACTAAGGCGGTGGCCAACATTTCATCATCGTTTTGATCATTTACATGATAAAAGTAGCGCTGACTCCATTGACTTAGAGTGTCGTCATCTGCTTCTAGTGGTACGTCGTTTGAGTTTGATTCAGACATTTCCGTTGCTGCAGTCGTTTCGACTTGATTCAAGAAGATTTGCTTACCTTCAACATGCAATAATGAGTTGTGAGATTCAGAGCATTTTTTGCACGCTGGTTGAAATGGACACGACTTCACATGATGCGGATAAAAACAATTTTCGCAGAGATTGTTTCGTTTGATTACTTTCACCCTATCGGCAAGTGACATTCGAATTAGTTCATCACAGCGAGAGGGCAGATGATTTTTGCCACAAAGAAGACATTTGTAGTCGGGTTTCAGCGTATAGAAAGCTTTGATCTTGTCAGCTTGCTTCTTGTTTTCAAACGAAGGTTTGTGATTGGATTGCGCTTTGAAATTCGATTTCGGCGTCTTTTCAGAGACGGGAGTCTTCTCCCTTTCACTCGAGAAATGTTCAGTGGTTTCAAGAGTAGTTATTCGAGTTCTCAAAAAATCCAATAAAACCTTCAATTCGGGTACTGAGCGTTTACCTTCTAATTTTTCTTCCCACACTCTCGAAAATCCTGCCATATCTGTTATTAATATACCTTGTAGTAAACGCGTTCATAATGTTTCACTGTAGTAGCGGTGTTACCTATTAAATTTTCTTGTAGTAATACTACAGTGGAATTTAATAGGATACTTTGCTACTACAGTGAAACACTATAAACGCGTTTACTACAAGGTATATTAATAACAGATATGGCTGATTTTTGAGAGT